GGTTAGCGATATATTGCAAAAAAAGAAGCCTCCACAACCGACCCCTTCGAATCAGAGGTCAACAGCAAGGTGATGAGGCTGCAACAGACAGCCAACAGACAACGACCTAAGCGACAATGGATGGTTTGAGTGCAGGCACGACCTAAGGCAGAGCCTTATGCATTATTATGAGAGTAGTGAATGAGCCCGCGCGAATAGCTAGTATACGTTTCTGTGGTGTGGAATACATAGTTGATGGCAGGCCTGCTAAGGAAGTGGTAGGTAGCAGTGGCGATTCTACGACCCGGCTGGAGAGAATTCTCATTTCACCAGTCGAAACAATCAGAACACGAAGGGTGCTCCACAGGACCACGCACCATAATTGGATAATCTCGCGATCTAATACAGAGGTTCATGATGTTCTTACAGAAACAAAACCATTCAGTTGCTTTCCGAATCGGAAAGACAGAATTTCGGCCCTGCGGTTAGGAAGTTTGAAGGACTGATGCACAAGATGGAAACTGAGATCAAGTCGACAAGACAACATGAGGCTGTGATGGATTACAAGGCGGCCGACAGGCCTTACATGATGGAATACGAATGAATGCAAGTGGCTGCTAAAAAGTAACTAGTTAGGCGAGCAAGAAGTATCGTAAAAAACCTCAAATTCCGCCAGAAACTCTCTCTCTAATTTCAAGAGATTCCGCGTGTTGTGCTTAAGCTTCCAACCGCTGATCAGGAAATCCTTCTGTTAGAAAATATATGAGTGAATGGAGTCACTGTCTGTATTATGACTGGACACTTCAAACATAGTGCAGTTCAAAGTTTTCATTATAGAGAGCATCAACCGCCTGAGCTCAATGAACTGCACTGTCCCTGATGGGAAGAAAACTTATTGGTGGAAAAACCCTAAAACGAAGATTTGCCGATTCCCAAAAATTACAAACCGATAACATATTCGAATTCATCTTATAAGTTGTTTACGACAGTATTTATGAACAGAGAGGGTCAATGAGTAGAGTAGCTGGCTGTAAAGACAACCTGCTCATCGATATAAGCTAACGCAGAACTCAATACAGTATAAGCTTAACCTCACTCGGGCGATAACCATGGAAAGGTTGCTATCTTCTCCGGCCAGAAAAGTGAGAATCTCTGGAAGAGAGATCGACTGGCAAGCGCGGGTTAAGGTACCTCGGCCTTCTAATAGACTGTAGGCTCAACTGGAACCAGCACATTATGTGCGTTAAAACAAAGATCGAGGGTCGGATAGCTAGTCTGTACCCTCTGATCATCAAGAAATCAAAAATGAGTCTCAAAAACAAAATTATCATCTATAATACGATGTTCAAGCCTGTCATCATGTATGCTTCAGGCGTCTGGGGACAAGCGGTTCCGTCTAACATCTCCATCCTGGAGAGATTACAAAATAAGTTTTTACGGATGATTGTGAATGCTCCGTGGTTCGTGCGGAATGAAGCCATCCGCAGAGATTTGCAGCTGCCTTCCATTCAGCAGCCCATTCATTTGAGGAATTGGCAAGTTTTTTATAGTGCGGAAACTCACGAAAATCCGTTAGTTAGGGAAACTATAGAGTATGCTGCAGACGACCCTCCCCGATATAGAAGGCCCCGACACTCTGTCGAATGAGGCCTTCATGTTCCCCGTTAACGGACGTATAGATTTTTCATCCATCCCACCTCAGCCAGGTAGGGGTACCCCGTGAACGGCGGTACTGATGTCTGAGGACGTTTCATCCCGTCAACATCTCCTCCTCTCCATGAACCGATTTGTCTTTCTGATGAAAATCAGCTGAAAGGGTAAGGGAGCTGGGCTCCAAATTGATGAAAACGAAGATGACCCGAACAAGCTTAACCTCTCTATCCTCTGAATCGATTACCGTAAGGCTTTTGATACCTCAAACAGCAACTCTAGAGGCCACGCTTCACTATAATATTTGGTCAGGCTTGAGTTTAAACAGAGATTATCACTTTCAGAAGGAATGCATTTCAGAGCGATTCCCACATCACCTCAAAGTTCATGTCTCGGGAGAAACAGTTCTTCATCATTCCTTAATAGCAGTAAAAGGTACATGTATGTTATCGGTATACTCATTCGGGATAGACGAATGTGCAAGTTGAGCTCACTCGGTACTATGATAAACTCAATGAAGTGATCATATTTTCTTAGATTGTAACAATATTTCAGTGAAGTTTTATGTATTTTTTGTGCACGCTTTTTCAGGCTGACCAGTAGATAGGCTGGATAATAGAAACAATTATTTGCAGTTCATTTGCATTCAATATGTCTTTATGACAATAAAAGACTTTTGATTTACCATAAGATTTGATCGAATAGAAGTTTCTTGCAACAGTCGGATAGTGCATGTGTTTTATTATATATCAAGTTAAATCCTGAAGATTTTCACTGCCAAAAGTTTCGATTTTTACATTCTCAAAAGTCATCATTTTCATTTTTGTCTCATTAAATTTGAGTTTGTGCTGTACTCTCTCAAGTGGTTACTTGAGAGATTCTATGTGAATCAAAATTGATTGCCTGACATGCTACATATCTATTTTCTCGCGTTCAAACGACACGCAAGTACTTGCGTATCATCTGCACATTCTGGGATTCTGCCAAATTCGACATTTTTGTGAGACTAAGAAGTATATTCAGAAAACAACAAGGGACCTAACATAATTCTTTGCAGGACAACACTTGTAATGGAACGATATCCTGAAATATTTTCTTCAATTTCAGTAGTTTGTATTCGAGTGGACGAATAGTTCTCAAAAAACAAAACGGCTCTTTCACTCAATCTGTTGAGTGAAAGTGTTGCGGAATGATTCACAACACTTTCCAAAAATTGGGAAAAAGACCTTGACGTAGGAACAAAATGTATCATGTAATTATCAGGTAAAGAAGGGTCAACGCTATCATTTCAATATCAACGGCATCTAAACCCCCAGAATTACATTTTATTGTTTCCATAATTCATAATTTCTACTTCATTGCAATTTACTGGAGAAGATTTAAAGATCGGAGGGTTGTTAATATCACTAAATCTGTGACTATACTTTTCAGTTATATGGCATTTGTCTATTTGTGGGACATTATCTGCAAAGTAATCATTCAGGGTATTTGTGTTTTCGAAAGGGTGAGATATGTTTTGTTCCTTATTTTCAATATTAAGATAATCCAAATTCTTCTAAAAATCCTAGGATTATACTTTGATACAAACTGAAGGACCGCTTTCTATTCGGTTAATTCTTACTGATAAAAATGCTCTAGATCATTTCTTAGATGATGAAAAATTCAATTCATCACATCTAGATCCAGATCTGGAGTATTCCTACCTAACGATTCATTTCAGTATCGATTGATCTCGAAAATAAGAAATTATCAGTTGTAATACGTCACATAATAAAAGTTATTTTTCTGCATTTTCGAAACATTTACAGAAAAATGTAATTTGATAATAATAATAACTTGACTTTTATTGGGAATAAATAACAAATCAAATCAAAATATACTTTATTGTCAGAAATTATTGACAAAAATGTATATAAGTATAAATATAAACATAACTAATGGTGTATAGATAAAAACTGGTATTTCACATTTCTGGTGGTCAATTTCTATAGTGAACATATTGTTATAGCGATTTCCGTTAGAAATACTAGTGCACATTCAGTGTATTATTTCTATCCTTTATTAATGTATGAACAAATGAAGCTCAAACATGCGCTCCAGTTTTACCAATGGAAAACGCTCTTGAGTTTGAGTTTTCCAAGCCGTCTCGTTTGAGAGAACCAATGAATAATAAATTCCATTTGAACAATTTTGTGATATTCAAAAATTCGTTGTTACATGGAATGGATTCAACCGCGTTTTAAGGCACCGTATGTCAAATATAAGAATGAAAAAGTTAAATTTAATTTAATTGAGAGACACGTAACATATTCAAATAATGCATATAAATGGACATCTTATCAGATTTTTTGATGACACGAAAAAAATACCATGAAAAATAATGTTCAAAATGACTTTATATACGTTACCTCAAAATATGTGTAAAGGCGAAAATACGAAATTATGATTTCGTATTTTTCTTTCAGTGTACTTTGTGTATGTGGAAAACATTTATATCTATCTACCCAGAAATTACTTCAATAAGAAAGAAGATATATGAGTAGACGTCAAAAATACATAGTTTTGTTTCATAATTGGTGACGTTTTTGAATTAAAATTTTGTACGACAAAAGTGCAATTTTGGGATATGTCATTTTATATAATATGTTAAAATTGAAAAAGCGAGTTTGTAATACTCCTAACATTTAAAAAATCGAAATCAAATTGAAAAAATAGTATAGAAGAATAAAAAACATTATACACAATAAGTGAATTTGTTTAATTTTTCTCTTTTAATTGAAAAAACAATAAAATATTTCAATAAATATAGGGTGAAAATAGCAAAAAGTTAATGATTAACATTTGAAAAAAGTGCTATGAATAGCTGTAAGGTAATTCAGTTTTTTTTTTTTTAAAATCATGTATCACTTCATATTATTGGTAACTTGAAAATTCATCGTCTTAGTAGTTCATATATTTATGAATATTTTTGCAGTGATTTCTTTTCTCGAGTTGCCCAAATTGAAACACTAATTCATTTATTATTTCAAAAAAATCAGTATTTTTTTATAAAACTAAAACAATGTTTAGTCAACTGTCAACAAATAACTTTGACATGTAACCATAAAAATTATTTCAGTTATTTTAAAACCGGACACTAATATGTAAAATCTATTTTAATACTAAAGCTTTGAAAACAAACTATCAATTATGCTTTTCAATTTTAAAATAACTCAGCACTGTACAGAATACATCAAATCATTATTTGCGAATATCATAATAAAAATGAAAACAACCATAACAACAAGCTCTTTGCGTTTAAAATAAAGACCATTCTAATGACAAACCAAAATAACAATAAGAACTCATTCAACTTTTTTGGTTCTACTCACCTTCAGAGACATTTCTAAAATATCTGACCCAGATTATTCAGAACATGACCAATGTTGTGTCTTTTGAATCACTACTGAAACCCGTAAACTTGCTCTTGCTATATCCCCACTGTCACTCGCACACACTCAGGTGAAATGTAAAGAATTGCGTGTTTTTTTTTACCTCTTTCACTTCAATGAATGTGCTTAACGTAGTACTCTAGCGTTACGATTATTTTGACTTGTGAATTGTGAATGTGAAAATTTACCCATGCGTATTGAACAGAAACGCTGCCCGCCTAATTTCAAGAATATTTGCGCTTGCGCTCGGTCATTTGAAGAAATGAAAATCATTTTGGTAAATGAAACTGAATTTCGCGCTTTTGTGAGCATTGCCCTCTCTTGGAACTTTTTCAAATCCTTCAGGTGATAAATTAGAGTTTCCTTCAATTCTTGAATGTTTCATCGACTGAAGATAGAACACAAAGAATGACAAAGATAGAACTGAATCTATTTTAGATTCGGATCAATTGATCATGACCAATAAAATTTATAAAAACAGCCATCCTTAGAATGAATTCCTATTAGCTGTCGACTGTCTATCAGTAGTGGAGGCTAATTAATGTTATATATATATTGAAACAAAGTTTCAATTTGTAACTTTCAGACACATTTAGGCAGCTTTTGTTATTCATCTTTGAGTAANTTCAATTTGTAACTTTCAGACATATTTAGGCAGCTTTTGTTATTCATCTTTGAGTAATGGTGTGATATGGTACAAAATTATTGGTATCTAAGGCAAATAAATATGCGAGAAAAAGTTTTGTTTTAACAATAATAATAGTTGTGTTCTGTTGGTGTCCCGTTCAAGTTATTTTCGTCAGAAAACAAAACACACCTAACATTGGGAAGTTCATGAATTCAGCAGAAAATGTCTGATATATTGCTTCAATCAATAGAAACGCCCCAACCTTCGAATCCGACCGATCAATCTGTGGAATCATCCGTTATTCACCAAAAAAATTCTTCATCAGAGAAATATGCGTAAATTTTAACCTGTCTCATGACAAACTCAAGCGCCATCTGTATCGAAACTATAGCAAAATTATTAGATTCTTTTCAGGTATTGTTTGCTCCCAACAGCTTCCAGCGGTTAAAACCGCTTCACCGCTGAATATTTTGAATAGTAATTGCTCAATCAGGCTGATGGATGAAAAACTTTTTTGTCTCTGAATAATAACGTTGTATGATCTGAGAGCTACCAGTTCTGATTATGTCTACATAAATCAGTCTATAATTGGAAAGAATTTCTACTGATGATAGCGCTCCTCGAACGATAAACAGCTGATTGGAATAACAAACATACGTTATGTCTATTTTTTTTTGGTGTTTTTGTTTTGTTTTGAGTTCTTTAATTGTGAATTTGTGAGAGTAATGTTTTTGGTGCGATTATTATAAACGTTAAAAATCGGTGAATAGGTAAAATGAGTTACTCCCACTTACAAAAAGTACCATTTGGTTTAGTTCTCATACGTCCGATAGATGTCATATCTGGACGATGAACTACCCAATAAAAATCGAAAATTGGCAAATTGTACTAAAGAATATGATGAAATTACAATCAACAGAAAAAATGTTTCTCGTTAAAATGCTGAAAAGGGTTGAGTAGGGTTAATTTTTTCAAATATGACATAATCTTTGACTGTATTGAAAACACTTTTCCCTCATCAGTTAAAAAAATGCCGTCTCTCGGTGCACGTTTTGCTAACCAAGTTGGCATCTTCAGGAGATGACTAAGACTCTTAGTCCCAGATGACTAGGACTCTTGGTTTTCAATAGATTCATTTCAAACCAGAGGTTTCAAATTCTATTTATCACAATCTTCAACATATAACATACAGTCTACTGATTGAAAAGTGCATTCACACAGCATATAGGGAAGCTCTTTTCGCTTTTTTGTCCCGAAAGCAGCCATTAACGTCTCTAGTCTGTTGATGTTGAAAAAAATTTTCCAAATGGACTAGTGAGTGAATCCATTGCTAAACTCAATATAATATTTAACAACAAAAAGTTGAAAAAAAATATAATGTAATAGATAATAATGTAATGTGTAACTATAATAACCGATAAGTGACCATTTTAGGGTAATATATGAAATATTTTTTTGAAATATCACGTTCAATCCGTTAAAAAATTGAATAAAACATAGGAATTATCAATAAATGAATCTAAATTTTAAATGCTCATACAGCAATGACTAAATGAACAATAGCGCAAGGTGGCGGTGCAAAAGGCAAGGAAAGAAAATGTCTAACTACAACAGTACAAAATACACGTAGCATAGTGATAGAAGAAGAAGAGTAGAAGAGTTAGCTGAAATTGCATTCTTGTCTCTCTCTTTAATTTGTCGACCATTTGCTGTTTCTCATCGTTTAAAGGAAGAAAGTAAGAAATCATCAATTATTGTTCTGTTTTTTATTTTAAAGTGGCTTGATTTCATTTGTAGATCCTCTCAAAATGGAAAATGATGCAGGAGAAACCGTTGATTTATACTGTCCTAGGAAGTGGTAAGGTTATATTCTCGTCTTCCATACACGTGTTTGTTCACTATCATTTAATTTGTTTCATGATCCAATAGGTTCAACTTGTTGGATATCCAGAGGATAATTCAATGTAAAATAACATTGAACTCTGGAACAAAATTGCATTTAATTCAAAAACCAAATACTGTGAGACTAGATCATTTCATGAAAGGGGAAGTGTTTTACCAATATACAATACAGCCGTCATGTATACCTACTACATGTTTTTTCCGTTAACCAGCAATCGCACCCCTACGAACGATAACCCTCAGAAGTTGAAATTTGTGCGAGCCAAGGACTAATGAGGTCTTACCTTTTAACTTGTGATTCCTAACATGGGTTGGACGACAGCAAGTGAAAATCGAGTGTTCAGCCTGGGTCACGTTGAAGTGACCGACATGATGATTCAAATTATCCTTTTTTCTATTCCAAATGATATTGATCATAAGTATCACCTATATACTTCCATGTGAAAATATCTTAACCAGTCCAACTCCCAATATCTGATTGTCGGAGAATGACAGAGCTGTTTTCTAAATTTATGTGGCAAATTTATCGTTTTCTTCACTGCAACAAAAACAAGTCTTTTTCTACACACTACCGCTATTTATTTTTATTTATTTTAGAAATTGGATTTTTCCGTGACTCACTGTTGAATTCATTCAAAGTATCTCCAGGTTTGGAACCTTCGCTCGATAATGAATTACCAAATCTGCATTGTGTGCAGGTTTGATGATCTTTTTTTTCAATCCAGATATGCTTACTATTGAGGTATGCCATGAAGTCAATAACAATGTGACACTAGTAAAAACGATCATTATGCGATAAAGGACAATCAACGCCACCCATATTAACATGATATAATGTATCATGTTTGATTTGTTACAAAAAATTCATCCCAATTTCCAAAAATTTTACATTACTTTCATACGAAACATGATCAGAATTTTTTTCCTTCTGATAATATCGTCTTACTGGATAGGTTCTACTCTAGCAAAATTGGAGCAAAGTGTTTTGCTTCTATGATGTCTTGACCATTCATCTTTCTGAAAATCGTAGTATCCACGGCTTTCTTTCTTTATTATTTTAGATGTTCGTAGCAACTGATCAGGTTTATGATTTTCTCTTGAAGTGCCATAGACATACAATCCTTTTGTAGTCAATTCTTCAGTCAATAGTAGCGAAGTGAAAGATGTCAAAAAACAGATGAAATTTTTGTTCAAGCCATTTTTAACGCATATGTGTATTCCAGCACAACACCTGCACCAACTCCATTTGACACAATATATTCTAACTTATCTCTTGAAATGGCCTCCAATGCAATTATGATGTTTCTATCTTCCTTCCTTTCCCAGTACATCCTCGGTCTTGAATCACAAACATATCCACTCAGTACTAATGACTGAGTACTAATGACTGACTACGTGTTTTTTGTGATAGGCATAATTTTTGGATTCGCGTACTACCTTATGAATCTACTCAAAGATGCAAAATTACTCTAGTGAACTGCTTTAAAATTTTTGGCTTTACAATATCTGCTGCTTCAAAAGTACTGGTGCGGGTTAAATCATCATTAAACTCATCTTTCTGGTCACAATTCTATTTCAGATGGAGCTCCAAGTTGTGTCCCCAAAAAATTATTAATCTTTATCTCCAGAATCTTCTATCAATTATTTCACCACATGTATTTTCTAGAGGAAATATTGTGACACTATCAACTCTTTCTGTGATAACATTATCATGCTCTAACATAACCAGAGCCTTGTTGAGAGAAAATCCTCTGAAATGAAAATTAACTTGTATATATGCCTATCGTGCTATATTTAGTTCACCAACATCAAAGATTGATAATATCTAACCTTACCCTTGAAAAGAGTACTAGTATGTATGAAAACAAAATTAGACTATTTTTCAGTGGAACAAAATAGGAAGAAACATTTCTAGCATATTAAATTACTTACCTAGTAAATAATATTACACAATTTCAATAGTCTTTTGCTAATAGAAATTCACTCAAGTTCACACAAAGACCTCAAGTGCTTCCTGATAACTCACTTAACATTGAGAAGTGGCTGCTGCAATTATATAGTTAGTTCTTCATCGATTAAAGTTTATAAAAACTGTTGTTATCCGTTTCTGTACTACAAGAATATCCCAGATATAACTAAGTCAAAGTTCAGCAATATTGCGTATGGCTCCATTGTCTTTCTAATATTTTAATAACCTTAGGTAATGTCTTTCATACTAAATCAACGTCCACTAGTATAAGTAGGAGAGAAAGTATTATGAATCAAAGATCGACGAAAATATTGGAAACGGTAGGGCTATGTGGAAAGCACTGAAAGGTTTAGTAAAGGGAAATAGAAAACAAGAGTTCAAAGGTATACAGTTTGATAGTGTTCTCATAACAAATGAAGCAAAAGTAGCAGGATATTTTAACTCATTTTTCGTTGACAGTTTGAAAGATCTAACCGAAAGTATAGTACCAATAAATGATTATAATCATGTTCTCAGTTATATGAGATACTTGGGGAATTTGAAACATTGAATATATGCGTGTTGAAGAAGATAATTTTTTCCCTCAAAAAAAAATACAGATGACACTGGAATTAATCTGATTTTAATAAAGTTAACATTTGAAATACTGGGAAATAGGGTTTTGGAGTTGATAAATTTATCGTTATCCACTGGAA